AAAGAAAGAAAGAAAGAAAGAAAGAAAGAAAGAAAGAAAGAAAGAAAGAAAGATAAAGGAACATAAAATATTCCTTTTGTTTTAAGCTGGATGCAGTGACACACCACCTACCTTTCCAGAGGCTGAGGTGGGGGTCCACAGCCAGAAAGGGAGGGGAGGAGGGAGGGAGAGAGAGAGAGATGGAGGAAAGGAGGGAGGGAAACAAAAAAAGAAAGCAAGGTAAAAAGATACAGAAAGAAAATGGAAGGAGAATGGAGTGATAAGGAAGAAGGGGAGGGGAGGGAGCCAGAGAGAGCAAGAGTAGAGAGAGAGAGACAGAGAAACTAAAGGTCGTTTTTTGTGCTTTCCTCTCTGTATATTTCTAACGCTCAACTATAACTCTTACAGAAAACACCGGTAAGACCTCTACAGGCACAGTGTATGTTGAAGTGCCCAGCTTTAAGGAAAACTGTCCATCAGTTGTCCTCGAGAAAGAGGAGCTCTGTAGCTCCTCACCATCGGTGCTCCTTTCCGTGAAAACCCTGGACAGGGGGAGATACACTGGTCCCTACACAATGTCGCTGGAGGATCAGCCACTAAAGCTGCCAGTCATGTGGACCATCAGAACAGTGAACGGTGAGTCAGAGGAAACTCATCTCCACAGACAGGAACTGCTGGTACTTTGCGTTTCCAGGGGAATATGAACCTTACTATGAAAAGCTGAACGGCATTCATTTGAAACTGTTCTGTTCTCTTCTGAAGAGAAGAGGAATTATATAAATTCTAGGACCACTTGCGATTTTGTGGGTTAGTTAGCATCATCGTTGATACAGACTCTCTCTGCACAGCCCAGCCTGGGCTGGGGCTTGCCGTGTAAGAAGTAACCTTGACGGCATGGTAAACTGACATCTACAAACCCACTAGCCAATGAAAAGAGGGAGTTTGTTTCCTCCTAAAGTGTATCATGTTTATTATATATTTTCTGTGTTTTTCAAAAGTCTCATAGGCTTAATAAAAATCTTCTCCCTTTCTGGGCTATACAGTGACCATCAAGCCACTTCTAACCCTCTTGCTTCCTTTCATGGATGTGCTACCTGGTATCCTGCAGTCGTATGTTAGCCATCGCCAGAGACACCAAAGATTTTTCTCCGCATGACCTTCCACCCTTGGCGCTTCTGATCCTATTTAAAGGAATAGCTCCAAACTTTACGCGTACCATTGGACTCCAAATGAGTTTACCAGATAGATACATGGTCAATGAGCAAACAGAGAGAATACAGCTCAGTGCCACTGTCCATGCCTAGCAATCACAAGGTCCCAGGGTCAATCCCTGGGGAGGGGGGGAATGGGGGTGATTGAAGTGAGTGAGATTGGGCAATGCAAACTTGATAGCCATGACACGATAGCCAAGGGCACTGTGAGTTCCAGAGCAGTTCAAACAGCGCAGCACTGCCAGGCTTCACACTTAGGAAGAGGTAATATAGAAATGGAAAGCGAGAATCAAATGATGTCTAGTTATCTGATAGGAATGGGCCCCACCATGAGGAATCCTATCACCCAGGCCCTCAGCTCTGGGAATGAGAAGCAATAGGAGCACTTGAGAGAATATTCCCAAAGTCAAAAGTGGTTTCAATTAGTCAGATATAAGATCAAAGTTTGACGTCATACATGAGGCCACGTGCTTGTAAGTATCGCTGCAGACATAGGCCAGGACAGGGACCTGACATCCTCTCTAGTGGGAAAGCAGTGTAGGGCTGAGTCCTTGTGGAGAACAATGGGCCTGTCAGACTGTAGGAAAGAATGGAAAGAAGGGGGTACCAGAGAGGCCCAACGTTTTGGCTTCTCTGGGTCCCCCTGGATAAAAAACTGTCTTGAGCCACATAGAGTTAACCCACAATGTTGTAACCACAAGATCCTGCGGGCTTCGTTTATTTTTGTGATGGTGTGTTTCCTGATGCAACGCTACGACATTGTCTTCTAAAGACTTCAAGAACTAAGCAATCAGGATTTTTTTTTTTAATCTCTTAATGTTTTAATTAACTTTTACAATTTTTGTATTGGGCTGCATCTGTACCTCCTCTTTCGGGCCACATGTGGTCCACAGGCCATGGACTGGACACTCCTGATGGACAGACTGACCCAACCGAACCTCTTCTCACACTCAGCACTGCTCCAACCACACTAGATTTGCCGTTTGTGACCAGGATCCCAAGACAGTTCTGGCACTGTTGTCACAAACTGTTTAAGAGCGAAAGGTGCCAAGTCTCACTGTTGCTTTGTGTTACTTTTTTTTATAGCTACCTCAGCACTTCTGCAAGCCCAGCAGCAGGTGTCTCCAGGGGTATACAGTGTCCCAGTCATCGTGAAGGACAGCGAGGGAGGGCTGTGTGACACACCGGAGGGCTTGACCCTGACAGTGTGTCAGTGTGATGACCGAAGCATGTGCAGAGCGCCTACCCCGAGCAGGGGGCCTATCGTATATGGAGAGTCGTCCTGGAGCCTGGGGCCTGCTGCCATTGGCTTGATCCTCCTAGGGCTCCTGATGTTGCTGTGTGAGTAAGCTAATATATGTCCTCCAGAGCCCATGACAGGAACACCCTTTACAAGAGCCATTCCGCTCATCTGTGCAATGTGAGAAGTGTTGTTCTCTAGTTGCCTGATTGGGAAAACAAATCATAGATGTAAACTTAAAAAAAAAAAAAAAAACAGGGCTGTGGAGGTGGCTCAGCCAACAAAGCATGATGACCTGAGTTCAATCCCCAGCTCCCACCTAAATGAGCCAGGCATAATGGAGAAAGCTTGTAATACGAGCCGTAGCAAGATGGGAGGCAGAGCCACGCTAATTCCATGAGCTCCCTGGCCAGCTAACCTGGCTTACTTAGCAAAGCTCTGGGCCATTGAGAGACCCTGCCAAGGAGTGGAAGGCACCTAATGGATGATATCCAAGGTTGCCCCGGCCTCAATAGATACACTCATACAGGTGTGTACTCACGAGCACATTGCACACATATGAAGGAGGGGGGACAATAGAGAGCAAAAGAAATCACAAAGGTGCTCTACATTCAGTCAATAATGTTCACACTTAAAACCACGCCTTTATTCACAAGCATGGGCTTTCTAAGATGTGCTTAAACATCTCAGATCCATATACAAGTCTCATGAGGTCCTAAAATTAAAAAAAAAAAAAATGCTGATCAAATAACTTTAGAGAGGATCCACATTCATAGAACTCAGGCTCTGGGGATTTATTGTTTAACCAGCAAGTCCTCAAGACAGAGTGTGTGTCCATTTAGAATGTTCAAACCTGGGCTGCAGAGATGACTCAGCAGCTAGGAGCCCTTGTTGCTCTAGCAGAGGACCAGGTCCAATTTCCAGCACCCACATGGTGGCTCACAACCATCCATAACTCCCAGGCACTCATGCAGTACACATTTACACATAGAAAATTCCTTTAAAAACCTTCTAATGTTCATACATAAGAGTGAAGGCACTCAAAAAATTGCATGCCTGCATTGCCTTTTAATAAACGTACATTTAATTTAATTCAGGAGACAGATTTCTGGAAATTTTCACTTTATTCAAAATCTCATTAATCAAATGGTGCTGTGAATGTAAGAGTCCTCTATTTAAAGGAACTTTGAAAGGAGTTGGATAAACAAGAGCTCTTAATAAATTCACAATAATTCTTTAGTTTGTTACTGAATCACAAAATACTAGCGATAAAAAAATTTCAAGATGGTATATTTATTCTACTTCAACTGTCTTTAGAAACATCATTTAGGCGGTGGAGAGATGGTTCAGGGGTTATGAGCAAGCAGATCTTGCAGAAAACCTGAGTCTGGTTCCCAGCACATACTATGCCTGGCTCACAACTACCTATAAATCCAACTCCAAGGGACCAATGTCCTCTTCTTGCCTTCAAAGACATGTGCACTCACATATACATACCTACACAGAGACACACAGATGCACATTGTTAAAAATAAAATATATAAAGATAAATGCAAGGAAACACAATTCATATCGGGGCCATATTAAATTTCAAGATACTGTATGAATTATGTCCCATCTACTTTGTAACTCGACCTGATTTTAAAGTAACGTAGGACTGATTCAATTTGCATTACTATAGAGTTCATTTTAGCAACACTAGCAGGTCTTCATAGCACTCCTCACTGTCTTTTCCTCTATTACACAAGCACTATAAAGATACCCTCCTTCAATGGATAAGTAGCTGAATAAAGAAAGATCACATAACATACTGAAGTGTCACAGAGCCGGAGGACAGTGCATCCAAAATTCAGTCCCTAGAAGCCTGACTTAGAGACTGCGTTCCCTAACTCCTTTAGTGAGCCACTTCTAAGTGAACAGGTCAAGCATTAGGGTTCATAACTGTGAATCTGCAGAGATGGATGGATCGACAGCTAAGCGCCCTGGCTGTTCTTCCAGAGGACCCGAATTTGACTCACAGCACCCACATGGTAGCTAACAACTGCCTGTGACTCTAGTTCTGGGGAATTTGACACTTTCTTCTGGCTTGTGCCTGCACCAGCCGTGCACATGGTACACAGAGACAGATGTAGGCAAAATACCCACACATGTGAGATGAATGTTTTCAAATGAGTATTCCTTAACCTGTTAGCAGAAATGCCACAGCTGGAAGACCTTCTAAGCGAGGGGCTCTCGATTAACAATCAAAAGTGCATTGATAGGGCCTCTGAGGCTAAGAGCACAGACTGTAGGCATCTGAGTTCCAAGACCTACCACCTCACAGTTCCAATCCTCACGTGCATTACACACACACACACACACACACACACACACACACACACACACACGGTGTACTGATAGCCATTGATGAAACCATCTTTAGTTGCTGTTGGACTTTGCTGGTTAATTGCTATTTACTAAGAAGTTACTAAAGACTAGATTGCTAAAGTATTACCATAATCACCTAAAATATTGGCTATGGGGGTATTCTAGTTGTGTGCATATTTACCAGACACAATATATACACTCAATATGTACAAAATACAATTATAATAACTTTAAAGTGTATTATTGAAAGGGATTGAGAAACTGAACAAATCCTCCAAGAATGGCCCAGCCTCCTCCTTCAAGCTCCTGATCATTGGAAAATTACTGTGTTTTACTTACTAAATTATATTCTGTAGACACTGATTTTGCTTTCATTAAATATATTCCTTTTAATGTTTAAATTATTGTATTGCTTTTATATCATTTCTGACAAGTGCCATGTCAAATAGGTCCCAATGGATTCAAACCTTCTGTTTGTCTCCCTGCCCAGTGGCCCCGCTTCTGCTGCTGACCTGTGACTGTGGGGCAGGTCCCATTGGAGGAGCAGCAACGGGTGGCTTTATCCCAGTGCCCGATGGCTCAGAAGGAACAATCCATCAGTGGGGAATCGAAGGAGCCCAGCCTGAAGACAAGGTGAAGACCGGGTTTATAAAATAGTTTCTGTGGTCTTGTAGCAGGAAAGTTATTCATATTGAAATGTGAAAGAGGAATAGAAGGATATGGAGAGACATACTGATCTTAAGTGGAGTTAAGACTGTTATGAATGGGAATATTTAGGATTTCAGCTTTACAGAGTCACATCCTAAAAATGGCCACTCCTAGAAGAATTTGAATGTTGTCACTTACAAGCGGCCACACTTTACATACATTTCTCTGAAACATATGTTTTTATCTTTTAACATAACTTACAGGAAATCACAAATATTTGTGTTCCTCCTGTCACGACCAATGGAGCAGATTTTATGGAAAGTTCTGGTGAGTAAACATCAAATTTGCTTGTTTACCTATTCTACTGAAATTTGAACTTCATGCACGCTAAGCAATGTTCCCCACCGACATACAGATCCTGCTCTTTGTTAATGCTTTCTGTTTTTGAGACAGGATGACCACTGAATTGCCCAGAGAGGCCTTGAACTTGAAATCCACCTACCTCAGCCTCCCAAGTAGCTGAAATTAATTTTCGAAATTTATCTTTGAAAGCGAGGGTGGATCACAGGAGAACTAGTTGAAATTACAAGTTAACAATATTGCACATGTGTGCACATAACAGGAAATATTGCCACTGAATTTAGAAGCTGGCCTAATATTTCCTTGTGAATTAGCCAGTTTTGTGGCATTAGTCTGCCCTTCTTAAGTTAATTCACTCACTGATGTCAATGTTGTAAAAATCTAAAGCCTTTTTTTTTTCTTTATTCAAACTTTAATAAATTGAAGTTGGCATAGCTCTCAGGCAACTACCTACTAACTTTAGATATTCTTTTCTTTCTTTCTTTCTTTCTTTCTTTCTTTCTTTCTTTCTTTCTTTCTTTCTTTCTTT